TCGGCGTTTTCTTGTCAAGAAAACGCCGAGCTCTTTCGGACTAGCGCCGCCGCTCAGCTTGTCACGAGGTCAACTGTCTAGCAACCGATTGCGGTGCCACGTACCACCATCACTTTGTCTTTGCGCCTTCATCTCCAGCTTCAAAGGACATGATGCTGCGCAGAATAACCAAGCCAAAGAGAGCCAGAGCAGTCAAGAGCGTGAGAGATACCATCGCTTCGAACAGGATCTCCAACGTTGGTCAGCTAATCGAGTGTCTGCAAACCTACTCTCCTGATGAACCGCTCGAGACGGTGAACCATGAGCTTCTTCAGTCAATGCTCCGCACGCTACGAACCATTCTCCAGAGACCTCGGTCCGCACGAAACCTTGAGAAGATACGCGCAATTGATGGGTGCTATCTCGATAACGAAATATATCGCCATTTTCCACAGTGGGAAAGGGATCCTGCAACTTTCTGGGAGCCGCCTGCGGAGGCTCTCCCTGCCTACTGCAGCCTTTCTGGAAAGGCAGAACGATTGCGAGCTTTTTTCAGCCATGCTATGGTGCTGGAACTTGAACTCAGAGTTCGCCAAATTCAGTGGAGATTCGTCACTATAATGGCCTACAAGCATTTCGAGAGAAGACACCCCAGCGCGAACTTAAAGACTGATAAGGTGCGAGACTATCTGTTGGAAATTGGCCTCCAGGCAACAGAGACCAATGTGTCGAGATGCCATAATGTCATCATCAGTGGAAAACGACGCACGGAATTTTGTCAAAAACTCCAAGTAGTCTCTGTTGAACAAGCTCAGGCGGACCGAGAGGAAAATCAACATCCAGTGAACTATGGACCCATGTTCATGAGTTCCATTCCCGACGATCTGTATGTATGCTGCCTTTTTCCACAACAGTGACCTGACATGCCGCAGATGGGACAACAAGGATGGGTGCCGCGGAAGTACAGTCGACGATTGCTTGGCTTATTTGCTTTCACTCGATGCTGGAACTTGGACCACGGACGTCGGTTGCGAGTCTCTCGCCAGAAGGTTGATCGCTTTTCACGACGACTTAATCTGGCGTGATGTGACCAATGCCGGGGGGGGAGGGACGCAATTCACAATCAACCAAGACTTCCCAAGCAATGGCCCGGAGGACACTGCTTCTTCTCAGCTTGCGGGACCAATGCTGGAGCAAGTCATTGCTACCACAAATTCACCATGGCAATTTTTACTCTCCGCTGCAGAGTCCGTCGCACCGCAAGCACAGCAAGTAACGGGCGCTCATCACCCTTACCATGGAGCTGCTTTCTCCCCGGCGGCACTCGACCTATCGAATGATCAACGATCACAAGATTCGAGGACAAGTATTGTTGATTTTTCGAAAAATGGCGTCTTGCAGCCCATGATGCGGCGGCCGCCGGCGTTGGCATCATTTGATAACACAGAACTATTGGAAGGAAATCGCGCCACGACAACCGGCGCCTTGCCAGTACCTCCTACGCATTCGCATGCAGAAGAAAGTGATGCTTTTATCTCGACAGATTTTGTCAACACCGCCATGAACGATGCTATTGCACTGGATGATTTGTCTATTATACTGTGGCAGAACGAACAGAGCTTGTTATCAGCTTGTGACGAAGCCGGCCGGCAATGGGCAGGGAACTAGTGCATTTCAACCAATCAACCAGAGTAAATACAAGAAACCTTGTGGGACCTTGACACTGGTGCCCGTCGGAATTCGCATTTTTTTGCCGTATTTCAGGGGCAAAGACACAGCTTTATCCGTGACACTGCAACCGATGATGGGGGTTATAGGGAGTAAGTAACCCGGCTCGTTTAGCGTCAGACCATCGTAGGACGTTCGGAAAATAGTGATGGTAAAAGGCTTCACACGTAAGTCACGATTTGCCTACAAATGAGGGGGGGCATACCCTTGTAGAAAGCGGCTCGGTGATGTTTCGCTGCGCTGTCACGTCTGAGCACTGCTCTATATTTTTGCGCCCGCCCGTTTTCCACTCGACATCTGGATTCGCCTGCAGCCAGTCGCGCAACGCTGCAACAACAGCCTGCTCAGTTTCGTCGAGGTCTTGTTCGACAACCCGTTGTACCGCCGGGTCACTCATATCAGGTGTTGCTGACCAGTAGCCGAGGTATGAATGGCATACTCAATTTGAACTTTGAAGGCTAGCAATTTATTCCAC